GTGTCTTATTTTCATCAAAATGAATGGTACATTGAAGACTTAAAGTTGAGGACATATATATGAAACTGATTAGGAAAACCAAGCACTTGCGAGAAACGGAAACAGTATGTTGATTTGATATGAAAAAGAGAAAAGGGAATCGACAGAGGAAGACAAGTCCAACTCCAAGTTAAATTACTGACAATTCCTTCTCTTCAGGACATGCACATGTGCATGTCATACAATCTCTATGTATGTAAATTTGTTCTGCATGCATATGTACTTACTCTATGTATGTATATATGTATGTATGTACAATTATATGATCACATATGCATATACATGAGGTATATATACATATAAACACAATTTGGATGATATGTGCAAGTGTCACATGTTAATAATAACAGAGTCATAGAGACCCCAACTTATACTAATATATATGTAAATGAAGGACTAGGCCTATGTGTATATATACACTCGCATGGGATACATACATATATATAACCCCAAAATAATGTGTCCATTATTTACAAAAGGTATGAGTAAATCGTGCCTGAGGTGGAGTGGTTAGAGTGACATCACATAAATCTTTTTCCAATGAAAATGTAATAACATATCAACATATAAACCTTATTTTCTCATGTAGAACTGGAAAGTGGAAACTCACATAAACTTCGTTCCTCATTTTCATTTACAAAACCATTCAAGGAGTACCAATATTACAGGCTTATCAATAACATAATAAGATAATCTAAAACAAAACCTAGAATATTTAGTAAGAAACCATCATAATTAACAAAATTATCATGTGTAGCCTTGATGATACGGTAAAAGACAAGTAATCTTTTATTTACTTTGGAGAAAACAGACCTAATCAAATATATAGATTTAACTATAATTACCATCCTAATGTCTTCGGTACTTTAGTTATTATGTATAATTATGGATCTAAAGAGTTATTGTGTGTCTTGAATTTAGAAATAAAGGGTAATTGTAACCATACGTATGGATCTAAAGAGGTATACCTTCAAATTCATATCTTTAGAAGAAGAATCTTGACTATTGAATCAATGGAGTAAAACCCTGAATTGTCATGTTTTCCCACAGCTTTCTTGAGCTTCTTCTTTGTTTCCAAAATGCTAAATTTTAGAGATCTTTTTTTTTGGTTTAGAAAAAAAAAAACAATGGAAATGAAAAAGAAAGTTCAAGAAAGCTGTGGAAAAATATGACCAGGATCTTCTTCTTCTTCTTCTTCTTCTTCTGGAACCTACTCACGAATTAAACTTAAGAGAATTGTGGAGAGAGGGAGAGATATTAGTTGAGCAACTAGCATATAGAAGAAATTCAAGAGGACCACTCTATTTATATATAATACAAAGTGAGTGATAGATATGTGAACCTGCTTAGTAGGACTGAAAGATAAAAGTAGACTTCTTTGTTTCTTTATGCGTTTTCTTTTGTTATACAGTTTTATATTAAAAGTTCCATCAAGTCCAAATACTATGCCAATTTCATTTCAATGTTTTTTAGTGTAAACAATTCTTATGCTAGTATAAAAGTATATGTTTGGGCCAAAATTGTTAGTTAAATTTTGTCAAATCACTTACCGTTATGTGTAATTTATATGTGAATTACTTTTCTTTTTTTCCTGTTTAAAAAAAAAAAAAAGTGAATTACTTAGTGGTATATGGCCTCTAAGGTGTTTAGTTTGTGTTCTCCCAATGCTTATTAAATGATTACATTACCCGATATGGAGAACACTCGCCGTTTAGTGGTCATATGGCCTCAAGAAATCCAACCTACCTAACCCAAAAATTATCCAGTCTTGATCAAGACTTAGGTCAAGTAACTCTTCATTATCTTTAGAGGCTCAAGGATATCTCTATAAGAGGTAATATATCTTTAAAAGATTTTTAAAAAAAGAAAACTTCTACATATTTTAACAAATATCTTTTGCGCACATGACATAAACAGACAAAACCGATCCAACTAATTCGCCATCCTGGAAAAATCATTATTTGCAAATAATTTTCTACACCTTTGTGTATACACGAAGTATCGTTGAGATCCCGCCCCAAGTTTCCAAAGTTTGAAATCGTAGTCTAGGTTTAACGCTATTTCCTCGTCATATCTCCATATTTTATCTAAAATTTCAATTCATTTTTTCAATTCGTTTGGTAAATACTACATTTTTTTAATGTACTTTGCTTCTATAAATATTTTACCTAGTTTCTGTTTATCTTTTTTCTCCTCTAATACTAATTATTAAAACTATAGATACTAGATTTTATGAATATAAATAATCAATACAATAAAAACACTAAGGTTTCTCTCCAGTGCTGACACCTCAGCTTTTTGGAGTATTCTGGGCATGACACATCATTAAAATCATCATCCAATGAAAACATTTGGATTAATACACATCAGATTGTTTTGGCCAATAATCATCCCTCCTGCTTTTCTTAATGTTGTCTCATTTGTTCTTAGGATCTAACATATAGGCTTAATGTTTTAGAATAGGGTTGTTGGACTTCAATTTACTTATAATGTTTACCCTTTCGATAAAACTGTATACAAATCGAATTGGATAAGAACCATTGCAATAAAATATTACTCCCTCCGTTTCAAAATATAAGGCGTTTTAGATAAAATCACGCCGATTAATAAGATCTACTTTTTAAAAGTTCAGCCAATCATAAAAGAGACTGCATGATAAAAATAATCATAAAATATTAAAGTAATATATAATTTGCATAGAAACTTGAAACGACTTATATTTTGAAACAAAACAGTTTCTCCAAAACGTCTTATATTTTGAAACGGAGGGAGTATTAGATTTATTGAGCGTTATCATGAATTTTGATGAATAACTAAAAATCATTTGAGAGACGTTCTATACTCCTATAATAAAAAAAAATTTCAATTTTCAAATTCTGAAAAACAAACAAACAAATCTCTTAGCCTTTTACGCCTCAAATATCTATAGTCATGACTTCTATACAGCTATGACATGTCTATATCCATATAAGTCCGATCGAACCAAATATCATAACTTTTGTCAAAAAATGAAAGCTCAACGATTGCATCGACGATATATTCAAATCGGAGAAAACAAAAACAGAAACTTCAGTAAAAAATAAGAGAAAAAAGAGATTTACTTATGGGGACTGAATTCAGATTCCAATTCCATCAATCGCTGAGAAGAAGACGTAGGAGATTTAGAGTTCGATTGCGGAACACCGCCATAGCTTCGCCGCACTCCGGCGATAGAAACTGTTTTAGACACACAGTGAAGCAATCGTCTCTTATTGGCTCCCATTAGTGAAAGTCTTTCAAATATGAAAGCAAATGTCTTTTTTTTTATCTCTCCGTTTAACTATTTATCTAATCTATCTCTCTCCTTTGTTCATCTGTTTTTTCAGAAAAAATGATCGTTTTCTGATTTTTTTGGGATACAAATTTTATCTGAATACTAAATTGATTTACGGTTTGGTCTCAGTTTAACATTCCAATTTGATTTGGTTCCTTTTTTGCCTTCAAATTATTTTAAATATTAAATATTTAATTAAAATCATTTCACAAATTTTAAATTTCTTCAATATTTAAAAAATTCATTTAAAAATATTTCGCGGCGGAGTGTGGGTTTCGACCTAGTGTATGGTAAAACCAAAAAAGATAAATAGAATGATATATGATTTATCGAGGTATCGTTTAGTTCTTTCAAAACCGACCACGATAACCGTAGGGTTGGCTGATTTTTCAGCCCTTAACTATTCGCAAACTCAAGGATTCCTCCTATACTTTTTTACTCTTAAAAAACCACCAACAACTAACACTTTTCTTAAAAAAACACCACGTACTTTCGGATTCAGCTTGAAAAATACGCCTCCAATTGAACCGGCCATTAAACCGGGTTTAACCACAAATCCGCATTTACTGTACCGCGATTAGGATTACCCGGATGATTATCCATGACCCGTTAAGAAAACGAAGTCGTTTCACTTGTCTCTCTATGTCTCAAAATAAAGCCAAAACGACGTAGTTCTTGTATATAAAATCGATTTGGGGGTTTAGGGTTCATCTTCATCAACATTTGGTACTAAATTTCTCATTTCAGCTAACTTATCATCAGATACTAACCTAATCTTCCTATCTCTAGTGACCACATGATCCTCATCTTCATTATCACTCTCTGGAATTACACCACGACGAATCTGAAACGCATCAAACCAATTTGCCACTGCTTCCTCTATCTCGAACTCAAACCTCTCCATTATGCCTTCTTCACGCAGATCTTTGTTCTATTTTCTCCTCGGTTCTCTGCCACTGTCTCCATCATTCTCATAGTCTCTGTCGTTGTTGTCACACTCTCTATCGTTGTCTCCTCCATCTTTCTCAGTCTCACTATCGGAGTCGTCTCCTCCAGCACTAGCGTCCTCACCATCTCCCTCATCTCCGCTTTCAATTCCACAGTCGACCACATCACTCTCACTCTCTGGACGCTCGAAATCAGGATCATCAGGATCACTTTGATACACTAATTCTTTCCACGGCGATAATCCGATGTATCCCCAACCCAATCAGACATAATTCCAAACCCTAACCCAGAAATTGAAAAATCTCCTTTTCCCTTTCTCTGAAGAACCCTAATTTTGAAATGGGTGAACAATGACGATTCACGATTTTGAGAAATTGAGAGAAGAGTGAAACGACGTCGTTTTCTTAACGGGTTATGGATAATCATCCGGGTAATCCTAATCACGGTATAGTAAAATCGGATTTGTGGTTAAACCCGGTTTAATGGCCGGTTCAATTGGAGGCTTATTTTTTAAGCTGAATCCGAAAGTACGTGGTGTTTTTTTAAGAAAAATGTTAGTTGTTGGTGGTTTTTTAAGAGCAAAAAAGTATAGGGGGAATCCTTGAGTTTGCGAATAGTTAAAGGCTGAAAAATCAGCCAACCCATAACCGTATCATCAATTTCATTATTCGTGTGAATGGAAAATAAATAAATAAAAGGAGAAGTAAAAAAAAAAGCCCAATAAACAAAGCCTGGTCATGTTGGGCTCTGATCCAAACCATAACCACCTCCTGAGTCTTCTTCACTAACACCGGTCTTCCACGGCGGAAACGAGCAACGGCTTAGGTCAATCAGACAATGGCGAGCAGAGTTTACGTTCATTACCACCACGCCGATGCCTGTAGCAAAGCTCGCTGGAACGCCAGGTTTGTTCTTCTTCTTGTTCACTAGTTAATGATCCTTAACCTTATTGGAGAAATTCGGACAATGATTGTTGCTCCCGAGTAAAAAAGTTCATTGAATTCGGAACACATTACACCAAAACATTCTGAGTCCTTTTTGGATAATTTTAGCTTCAGACATGCTTTTATGTTTTGTTCTGCAGAGAGACCTTTAGGTTTATGTATGATAGGCCTTGGAAACATGTTCTTGATTTCTACTCAAATGCAGTGGAAGGGAATCTTTCTGTCCTGAATCTGTTTCAGCCTAAAGTTAGTATCTTTTATTACCAACACTTTACTATTCAGTTGTGTCAAGATGGCTTTTTATTATCCTTCTGATATAAATGATTTGTCAAAATTTAGAAATCTTTGGTACATGACGATGGGATAAACGAAGAGATGTCTCTTGAAACGGAATCAGAGACTTCGACTCGAAAAGACGGGAGGTCTGGGAGGTGGGAAAGAGTGAATTTCAAGATTGTTCTTTCGTACAATGGGACTTCTTTTGATGGATGGCAGAAACAGCCTGACTTACATACTGTTCAGGGGTAAGGTAGCATCTTAACTAAATTTTCATATCTATCTGTCGTTTCAGAAAAACATAGTGTCAAACTTTCTTTGATGGTTCAGTCAGTCCTTATAAACATAATGATTGATTGAAGTTAAGACGCACAAGCACTTACATTCCTTAGTTTCAAGACTCTTATTCCCTCATGTATTTTTTTTTTTTTTTTTTTTAATTTTCCTGAAAACTGATTGTTCTAGCGTTTTGTGGTTTTTAAAGTGTAGTAGAGAAGTCTCTCGGGGGATTTGTTGATGATAGGAAAGCCCAACTGCTCAAGAAAAAATGTAAACCATTAGAAGGCCGTGTTCTTGTTGCTGGAAGAACCGACAAAGGAGTGTCTGCTCTTAATCAAGTTTGTTCTTTCTGTACGTGATATTCAGATTCCTAACAATATACTATAATGGTTTTTCTTTCCCCCAAGTTAACCACCACCAATAGATAAGAGAAAAGCATCTGCATATTTGTTTCGCTACTATATTGTTTGCTCGTGAGAGTAGGTTCTTACTACAGTCAGCTGTAAATCATTACGAGATTGTACTGTTTTTTCAAGGACATGGCCATTCCAGCTTGTCAACGTGATTAATTGTAAGATTGTCTAATTTTAAGATTTTCTCTTAGATACATGGAGGAAAGACATTGAACCCATTGCTATTGAAGATGCTATCAATAAAGATGCTTCTGGGAAACTAAGGGTTGTGTCAATCTCTAAGGTATACTCTCTGTTCAGGATGGTTTCGTTTCCTTATTGTTTTCTGGCAAAATTTGATAATAGTATAAAAAAATGTTCTAATCCCATTTTTGGAATTATGAACGAAACTACAGGTTTCCCGATCATTTCACCCAAATTTCTCTGCAAAATGGAGGCGCTACTTGTATATCTTTCCCTTGGATGATGCTGAGTCATTGCACGAAAGTGGCGAGAATCATGAGAACTTCATCTTTGATGAGAACCATGAAAAGCAAAGAAATGGACTCTTAAGTGAAGAGAATACTGAAGAAGTAATATTGAGCGAGGACGATGAGCTTGAAATTGAGGAAACCAGCAATGGGCTTGAAGTAGTAGAAAAACCAAGTGACTTCAGTGTAATCAAGGTTGATCAACTTTTACAGCAGCTTCAAGGAAAAGTATTATCCTACAAGATGTTTGCTCGTGATACAAAAGCTGCAAGAAACGAGTAAGAGCTTACACAAGGTCATTGGTATTACGTTTTAGCATCGCAACAGTTCTAGATCACTGTCTACATTAGCGTAGAAATTTACCTTTCTTATTAGCATGGTGTACATTGTCTTAGATTTGTAGTGTAAATGGTTTCTTATTTGGATTTTCTTGACGTTGCAGAGGTCCGCCTACAGAATGTTTTATGTACCATGCACGGGCAGCCGAGATTAGATTGTCCTGTTCTGTAAGTGTTTGATTCTGTTCTCACATTTTAGCTATCATTTCTTTACTTCACACATTGCTCTAATGTTACTTGTTGAGTTACGGTGCTTCACGCCATAGTTTCTACATAAGAATTTAAGGCCTAGCTAAAAGCTCATATTTTTAGCTCGTCATTTTTGTGGCATGGGTTTTTTGGTGCATCAATAGCACTTGTAATCCTGGCAACTGAAGGATAGACAACATGAGACTTGACAGAAACAAAACTGCATATTGCACCTTGGTTTTTGATTAAACGTTCTCGTGAGTTCTTGTTCATTGCAAGTGTTTCCTAAAGATGGGATCAGCTCCCCATGTGAAACTAAAATTGACTTCTTTTGATGAATTGTACCAGGACTGTGTGGAAGGAAGAAGGGTTATGTGTGTTGAGCTTGTCGCTAACCGATTTCTCCGCAAGGTGTTTACTTTAAGCCTAATATTAGCTTCATATACACTTAAGTTGCAAGTGTTGGTTCTATGTAAAAAAGGTTTACTTTAAACTTTAAAAAAGTAAAGAATTACACAGTATAAAAGACACATGTATGGGAAGTATCTTATCCCTAAAGAGGCTTAGTCATATTTGACTGTCAAACCTGTATCTGCTCGTCTTCATTGTTTTGCATTGCATAACGATTTACTTATAACAGTTATACCATGTCTATGTAACTTTCAGATGGTTCGAGTTCTTGTGGCAACATCAATCCGAGAAGCTGCCGCTGGTGCAGAAAATGATGCATTGTTAAAACTGCTAGAAGCTTCATGCAGACGAGCCACAGCTCCTCCGGCTCCATCTGAAGGTCTCTGTCTATTCGACGTTGGTTATGCTGACTTTGACCCTCAAACTTCTCTCATTTCGTGAGAATGGCATGTTACATTTACTATATCATATATTGGATGGAATCTGCATGATTTAGATTGGAAGTCCGCTTGTCGTTAAAGCAAGCAAGACTGTAGTTTTATTAATATCTCATGATTAATGGTAAGGATATAGATTTATTTGACCAAAGCCTTGACAATGATTTTTAGTTAATGGGTGTATTGGAAGATCTATTTACATGCCATATATGATGACACTGAAGAAATCATGTCATGATCTACAGAAACATGGAAGAGAGAAGTGCAATAATCAGCGGTATTCATGCATTTGTGTGTCATGTTTGTTGCAGATACATTATATGCTATAACACAGACCCAGCTTTCATCTACTTCAGTTCCCAGGTAAAAATGTCCACACATCCATCAACTCTCATTGTTTTATACAGCACAAGAGCAAACCCTTGTCTATTTCTCATGCAAAGCTGATACTCTCGCTTGACACTCCTTTAGATGACCTCCCATCAGTTTCACTCACATACGTTGAGTAGAAGTCGTCATCATCCCCTTCCCGCTCCTTCAACACTTCAATCTTCTCCACAGCCTGTCCTATGTCCAACCTTTTCTCCACATCGGGTTCACAACAGCTCAATCCGATCCTCAAGAGTTTAAGAATCTGTCCTTCACAATGGCTTGTCTTGCCCATCCCCTTATCAAGCAAATTTGGTGCCCCTACTCCATGGAAACCCGAGTTCACCCAACTCGCTAAATCCTCTTCACTACCTTGTGAGAAATTAGGTGGGAATTTTCCCGTTAGGATCTCCAGGATGAGTATGCCAAGCCCCCAAACATCGGTTTTCTTGGTGATACGTCGGTGTTGCAAATACTCTGGAGATCTATAGGCTGCCATATGCACTTGTGCCTTCTCTTGGTTGAGCACCGGAATTAAGCCATAGTCTGTGAGAAGTGGTTCAAAGGTTTTGGTGAGGAGAACGTTGGAGGATTTGAGATGACCATGTGGAGCCATTAGGCTAGGTAGATCTTGGTGGAGATATGACAGCCCCCTTGCAACTCCTTTCACGATCTTCAATCTTGTTGGCCAGTCCAAACTTGGTTTCCCTAACGATTGATTACCTACAAAGATTTGACTTTTCAGCAACGGTAAATCAAAACTACTTAAAAGTGTAGAAATACCGAAAACTTACTATGAAGATTAACAGCCAAGCTTCCTCTCTCAGCAAAATCACATACCAATAGCTTTTCCTCCTTCCTATAGTAATAAGCCACAATGGGAAGCAGATTATGGTGCCTTAACCTCCCTAATCTTTTCATGTGCTCTTGAAACTCATCCCTCCCTGCATTATTCATCTGCTTGAACCTCTTCACGACCATCATTTGTCCGCTTGATAGCACTGCTTTATAGGATGCTCCAAAACATCCACTTCCAAGTATCTCAGCTGAAGCCTTCAACAGATCTTGCAGGTCAAATTTTTCCCTATCTTCCCTCAAGAATGAAAGTTTTGTGTTCTCCACTCCAGCTGCTGTACCCATCCTTTTAGTAGTGCCTGAGCCATTCCGATGGTCGGCTTTCTGTCGTTCTCTCCGGCTTTGGTCCGCTTCTCGGATGCTGGTTTTCTTCTGTAGACTTGATGGTCCGTTTTCCACCACCAAACGCGGTTGTTTATTCCTATAGTTGCGGTTAAGCAAGATGATCACTCCAAGGATTATGAGTATTGTCAGGGCCGCAACTATTGCCGTTATAACGAGGGGCCCCCTTGATGATGATTGAGGTCGTACCCCAGGTTGTGGAGGAAGCTCTCTAGAAGGAGAATCACATTCTGTTTCCAGCGGTTTTCCACATAAGCCTTTATTACCTTCAAACACCTTTGGATCTATCATGCTGAGACTCTCAGGGATTGGACCTGTTAATGCATTGTTTGAAAGGTTTAACAAGTGTAGCTGATGTTCAAACTCTGGTATTTGTCCAGTGAATTGGTTCCCGTCAAGTCTCAGTTCTAAGAGCTTGGGCAATTTGGCCACAGAGGTCGGGATTTCACCGGTAAACTTGTTTTGTGCCAAATGGACCTTCTTCAACCACCCCATACCTTCAAAAGCATTCCCTGGTATATCTCCTCCGAATTGATTGTTAGACAGGTAGAGTGACTTGAGAGCAGCGAGTTTCTTGAACTCAGGGAATGGCCCTCCGAACTTGTTGTTCATGAAGCTTAGAGTCCTCAAGGATGTCAAACCCGACAATGCCTCAATGTCTATGGAACCAGAAAGCTCCAAATTCTCCATCTGCAGTCCCCAGACGGAGCCGCTATTGCACAAGACACCAGGCCAAGTGCAGGGAGGAGTTTTAGCATCCCAGGAGGCCAACGCGTTTTCCTGCCCAAAAACTAAAGATTTCTTGAACTTGAGGATAGCCTCGGAATCCGAAAGACCATGAGTGGGTGTGGAGAAGAAAAGGAGGAGACATACTAGTGGTACCATGACGTTGTATATGCTGAAGGAACGCGCCTGCATGGGAGGCATGAGGCGCGCCCTCTTGAGAAAACCTTTGAGAAGGGGACAATGTGGTGTTACAGCTTGAGTTGGATTGACACAGCAGAGAGGAAAAAGATGAATGGTAAAGAGAAGGCTTTGCCTCAAAAGCATTCCAATAATAGGTTTGTGGTAAAACTTAAATTTCTAATTGCTGACCTGTAATGTCCTTTAAGATTACATCAGACAGCATCAATACACAATTCTCTGTTTTATTTTCTCTCTCATCAATACAACAACCCCATTATCTATATTGGTAAACCCTAAACCCAAACTTGGTACGGCAGAAACAGGATTTGAACTAAACAACAAGTTTCAGATATATTCTTTGTTATCTGGTCAAAAGCAGAGGAAACTACCATTTTTGTTTGACTTACACAAGTATTAGATAACTATACCAACAAAAGAAAATAGAAAAGCCTGGATGCTTATGAAGTCAGTTACATCTATAAGGAGACAATTACAAAGAGAGTCAAAAAGGTTTATGTTGGGATGCATTTGCTAATATTAGCATAGTCAAACGCATTTCTCAAAATTTGTTTCATTTATATATAAACTCATTGAGTATTTGTTTGTTGCAGAAGGAAACTGAAACCGAGAGAAGAAGTAGTGGAAATGGTGAAAACCTGCGAGAAAAGAGAAGAAAGTATTACGTTGGCCATTGACAGAGACAAAGAGAGCCAAAACGCTTTGAAATGGGCGGTTAGCAATCTTCTTAGCCGAGGCCAGACTCTTACTCTTCTTCATGTCAAACTCAAACAACCCTCTTCTCTTCCCTATTCCGGTATGACCAAGCCTCTGTTTTAACAACTTCTGTGTTTGATGCTTAATGTCATCTGATATTCATATTAACATAAGGTTGATTCAATGCAGGATCTAACCTTAGTAAGCCAGGCGATGATCCGTCAGAATTGTTTCTTCCCTTCCGTTGCTATTGTGCCAGAAAAGATGTGCGTTTTCGCTTCACTTTCCATCTTGTCAAGCATTTCATTTCATTTGACTGACTTTCTCTTGTTTCTGTGACAGATCAACTGCCAAGATGTGGTTGTAGAGGATGTTAGTGCGGCTAAAGGAATAGTTGACTATGTGCAACAGAATGCAATCGAGACTCTAATACTCGGTTCATCGAAGATGACTCTTTTAAGGTAATTAGGCAAATGTTTTTCTCCTTTACTTAAGACTAAATCTGAGCATCCTTATATATATGCTTTATTTGGTAGAAGGTTCAAAGCAGCGGATGTTTCAAGCACCGTCATGAAAAAGGCACCGAGTTTCTGTACTGTATATGTTATCTCTAAAGGGAAAATCTCGTCTCTGAGATCAGCTACAAGTTCACCTCCCCATTCCATTATGCCGCCTATGCGACAGCATGCTCACGCTCAGACGAGTAATCTGAATGGTATATATGACCAAGTTTTTTCAAGGACATCACATAAAGATTAAACTAGTTTTTTCCTTAACTGATCAAATGTCTTTCATGTTGCAGTTGAAAGGAGGCAACAAACAATGCAAAGAACACATGACGAGATCAAGATCGAGATCAAGTATGTTTCTTACCTATATAACTTGTTTCATTCTTGTCCATAAGTTAAATTTTACTTAAAGTAACCACACATGTTGAATAGGTCTCCCTTTTCGAGAAGAGGATACGAAGGCGTTTACCAGCCCTCGATAACAGACTCTGATATATCATTTGTGAGTAGTGGAAGACCGAGTGTGGATCAGATGTTTCCTTCCTTGTATGACAATGTGGATGTTCCACGGCTCTCAGTCAGCTCTGAGTATGGAGAAAATCGATCCAGTTTTGCTACATCATACTCAAAGCAGTCCATAGATCTCGGCTCACCATATGCACCAAACTATTCAAGCTCATTTGAAAGTGGGAGACAATCATTCTCACTACAGAGCCAGGTGTTTTCACTACTAGTATACCACATTACATGCCCATGAGAAATGTTTTTTTTTTCATTTGTTTAACTCTAAAATCTGACAGGATGAGATTGAAACCGAGATGAGAAGGCTGAAAATGGAGCTAAAGCATACAATGGAAATGTATAACAGTGCCTGCAAGGAAGCAATATCTGCAAAGAAAGCGGTATATTTGAGAGTTTTCAACAATCAAAAGCTAATCTGTGAGATTCTCACCAAACTTATAATCTGATCCATCTCTTCTCAGGCTAATGAGTTACACAAGTGGAAAGCAGATAAGGAACATAAATTAGAAGAGGTGAGACTTGCCAAGGAGGCAGCAATGGCAATGGCAGAGAGAGAGAGAGAAAAAGGCAGAGCAGCCATGGAAGCGGCAGTGGCAGCTCAAAGAATATCAGCACTTGAAGCTCAAAAGAGAAAGCAAATTGAAACCATAGAGGAAAAGAAGAGGGTGATGTCTTCTGTAGTGAAAACTAATTTAAGGTACAGAAAATACAGTATTGAGGAGATTGAAGAAGCCACAGAAGATTTCTCGCCTAGTCGCAAGGTAGGAGAAGGAGGCTATGGACCTGTTTACAAGGGAACACTAGATTATACTAAAGTGGCAATAAAAGTTCTAAGACCAGATGCGGCACAAGGAAGGTCTCAGTTCCAGCAAGAAGTTGAAGTACTAACCTGTATGAGACATCCAAACATGGTTCTCCTGCTTGGTGCCTGTCCGGAATACGGATGTTTAGTCTACGAATACATGGCCAATGGTAGCTTAGAAGACTGCATCTTCAGACGAGGAAACTCTCCAATCCTTTCTTGGCAGCTAAGATTTCGTATAGCAGCTGAAATCGCAACCGGTCTTCATTTCCTCCACCAGATGAAACCGGAGCCTTTAGTGCACCGTGACCTTAAACCGGGAAACATATTACTTGACCAGCATTTTGTCAGCAAGATTTCCGATGTTGGCTTGGCCAGACTCGTCCCTCCATCTGTTGCTGACACTGCAACCCAATATAGAATGACATCAACCGCTGGAACATTCTGTTACATAGATCCAGAGTATCAGCAGACCGGTATGTTGGGGACTAAATCAGACATTTATTCGTTCGGCATTATGCTTTTGCAAATAATTACAGCTAAGCCACCAATGGGTTTGACTCATCACGTCGAAAGAGCAATCGAAAAGGGAACTTTCGCTGAGATGTTAGACCCTGCTGTTCCTGACTGGCCAGTCGAAGAGGCCTTGGTTGCAGCAAAACTTGCTCTAAAATGTGCAGAATTAAGACGCAAAGACAGACCTGACTTAGGGAATGTTGTTTTGCCTGAGCTTAACAAACTCAGGGATGTAGCCGAAGAAAGCATTAAATTTGGCGGAAGCCAGCCTTCACCAATCAGGAGCTCAGGGTCCGCGACCTCACTACAGGTATGAATCCATTAAGCACCTTTTTCAGATTTTAAACATGTTTTGGTTAGTTAAACTATATTTTCTCTCTTGCAGGAGATTATGAGTGATCCTCAGCTACAATATGGATCTGATAGCTCAAGTATCAACAACAGTTCTACATCTTGAAGAAGAAAATCAAATGTCAGAAACAATCAAAGAATGAACAATATACATTAACTAATTTTGGTCAAGATCAATCAAGAATTGTTGTTTGTCCATAGCGGTTATATACCGAATATTTTAAACAGAGTTTTAAATCTGTTCATATAGTATTGGGTTTTAGAGTTCATATACTGCTAACACTAAACCCTTGTAGTTAACAAAAAAAAAAAAAAAAAAAAAAAAAAAAAAAAAAAAAAAAAAACCCACTAAAATCTTGTATACCACAGAATCTATACAGATTTACAAGAAAATATACCATTTTAATTGTTCTATACGTAAATTAGAAAACTCCTTGAGGAAGTAGAACAAATAAGGTTGAAATGAGCACTAGAACGGCTAATGGTATAGTGGCAAAGTCCACATAATGTTCACACTTCAAGAGTGAGATGAAAATGAAAATTTTGTTATTCCTTCAGTTTCAATTTATAATACTCACTCTTTTTCAAAGTATTTGATGTTTTCGGATTTTTTTTTTGTTTCAAATTAAGTGATGCTTTCACCTATCTAGACAAAGTTCAGTAGTTTTTTTTACCATTTATATTTTGCGGTATGTTTTATGATTGGTTGAACTGTGTTAAGTGAATAATAAAAGATGTTTTGTCTAGAAAAAAATAAAGAAATGATTATTTAATTTATGTTCAACAATCTTTAACGTCAACTATTTTGAAACATAGGAAGTACTGTTTAAGAAAGAAAAATGTTTAAAATAAATATTATTTTAGATTTTCAATGTAAAATTTAGCATTAAATTCCTAAATTAACCTCATCTCTATAGAAGAAAATGAAATGTTACCTTGATTTTATATTTTAATGAATATAACAGAAATTTGAATGTGTTTTTCTAACTTGTGTGAAAATTGTTAAGATGATATTTATTGCGAATCGAACCGAGTAAAAATCAACTTTAAACATGTATAACAACACTTATCATGAAAGAAAATTTAAGTTCCTTTTTTTGGCATTAAAAATGTATAACAACACTACATTATATATATTTGGGCAAAAACTACAATAAAAATATATAACGACATTTTATGTAGCAGATGAAGGTGTACATTTTTCTTTTTCCTTACAAAATAAAATTATTTAAAAATATAAGCCGGCAACATCAAACTCATAAAATCTATAGTCATCGTAAGAAAGAAAACTGGCCTACTTCATAAATGCAAGCCGCAATTGATTACTAAATCTTCCCTTATGTAGTTTTCTAAGCATTCAAACGTTGCGTTCCTAAAATAAACAAACAAAACAATTATAAGGTGATAATGGTCACCACCACACCAATAATACGTTTCTGCAGGTCAAACTTAACAACACAATACAAAAAACAAAAGATTCACAACTAAAAAACAGACAAGAACTCATTCAGATTCCTCTCTGATGATCCACTTCTTGTAATAATAACAAAATACAGAGTGGTTTCTCTATGAGATCAACATTTCAGTTGTTGTTGTCCCTTAGTCTCCTCAATCTTTTCTTTGTCTATGTTTCATGTGCGTCGTCCACAGAGTTTGTTTACCCTAACTTCACAGCTTCTAACCTCAGATTCATCGATAGCTCCAAAGGAGCTTTCCTCTTCTCTCGTAATTCCAACTTCAAAGCCGGTTTATTCAGTCCCGGCGGCGATGATTCTTCCTCTACCGGTTTCTACTTCTCTGTCGTCCATGTCGATTCCGGTTCAACAATCTGGTCATCAAATCGAGATTCCCCTGTTTCAAGCTCTGGTAAAATGAATCTTACCCCTCAAGGAATCTCTGTTATTGAAGATGGTAAAAGTCAATTACCCGTTTGGTCAACGCCGGTTTTACCCTCTCCGGTTCACTCCCTTCGGTTAACCGACGCCGGAAATCTCCTTCTTCTTGATCACTTGAACGTTTCTCTATGGGAAAGCTTTGACTTTCCCACCGACTCGATCGTTCTTGGACAAAGACTCAAACTTGGGATGTTCTTGTCCGGATCCGTCTCGCGGTCTGATTTCTCTACCGGAGATTATAAGTTCTTGGTCGGTGAATCAGACTGTTTGATGCAGTGGAAAGGACAGAACTATTGGAAGCTAAGGATGCATACACGAGCTAATGTTGATTCTAATTTCCCTGTTGAATATCTAACGGTCACTACTTCAGGGTTAGCTCTTATGGGACGGAACGGGACGGTGGTTGTAGTCCGTGTGGCTCTACCACCGTCGTCTGATTTCAGAGTGGCGAAGATGGATTCTTCAGGTAAATTCATCGTTAGTAGATTCTCCGGGAAGAATCTTGTGCCGGAATTCTCTGGTCCTATGGATTCCTGTCAGATTCCGTTTGTCTGCGGTAAGCTCGGGCTTTGTCATCTTGATAATGCTTCGGAAAATCAGAGTTGTTCATGTCCAGATGAGATGCGGTTGGATGCGGGTAAGGGAGTATGTGTTCCGGTTAACCAATCATTGAGCTTACCGGTTTCTTGTGAAGCAAGAAACATTTCGTATCTTGAACTCGGCCTTGGTGTGTCTTACTTCTCTACTCAATTCACTGATCCTGTGGAACACGATCTCCCGTTATTGGCTTGTCATGATCTCTGCAGTAAGAATTGCTCCTGCCTCGGTGTTTTCTATGAGAACACATCTCGGTCTTGTTATCTGGTTAAGGACTCGTTTGGTTCTTTGTCTCTAGTAAAAAACTCACCAGACAATCATGATCTTATTGGATACGTTAAGTTGTCTATCAGAAAACAAATCGCTCAACCCTCGGTAAACAATAACAGAGGATCTAGTTTTCCTTTGATCGCACTTGTGCTCTTACCTTGCTCTGGTTTCTTTCTTCTGATTGCACTAGGGCTTCTCTGGTGGCGAAGATGTGCAGTGATGAGATACAGCAGCATCCGTGAGAAGCAAGTAACAAGACCTGGGTCTTTCGGATCAGGAGATCTAGGATCTTTCCATATTCCGGGGTTACCTCAGAAATTCGAGTACGAAGAGCTAGAACAAGCGACCGAGAATTTCAAGCTGCAGATAGGATCAGGCGGATTTGGCTCAGTCTACAAAGGAACTCTCCCGGACGAAACACTCATCGCGGTCAAGAAAATCACAAACCATGGGCTTCACGGTAGACAGGAGTTTTGCACGGAAATCGCGATAATTGGAAATATCCGACACACGAATCTAGTGAAACTCCGAGGCTTTTGCGCTCGTGGGAGGCAGTTACTCTTAGTCTACGAGTACATGAACCATGGATCGTTAGAAAAGACTCTGTTTAGTGGGAATGGTCCGGTGCTTGAGTGGCAAGAAAGGTTTGATATAGCGCTCGGGACAGCTCGTGGACTCGCATATCTCCATAGTGGATGCGACCAGAAGATCATACACTGCGACGTGAAGCCAGAGAACATCTTACTGCACGATCATTTCCAACCGAAGATATCTGATTTCGGGTTATCAAAGCTTCTGAATCAAGAAGAGTCAAGTCTTTTCACGACGATGAGAGGTACTCGAGGCTATTTAGCACCAGAGTGGATAACAAACGCAGCTATCTCTGAGAAAGCTGATGTGTACAGCTATGGAATGGTTTTGTTAGAGCTAGTGAGTGGTCGGAAAAATTGCTCGTTCCGATCTCGGAGCAACAGTGTGACGGAGGAGAATAATCAGAACCACTCGTCGACTACGACCACTAGTACTGGTTTGGTATATTTCCCATTGTACGCTTTGGATATGCATGAACAAGGGAGGTATATGGAGCTGGCTGATCCGAGGCTAGAGGGTCGGGTAACGAGCCAAGAAGCTGAGAAGTTGGTTCGGATAGCTTTGTGTTGCGTCCATGAGGAGCCAGCGTTGAGGCCAACAATGGCAGCGGTAGTGGGGATGTTCGAAGGAAGCATACCGTTGGGGAATCCAAGGATGGAGTCTTTGAATTTCTTGAGGTTTTATGGGCTGAGGTTTGCAGAGTCTTCCATGGTTGAAGGGCAAAATGGGGAGAGTGAAACTATGGTCTTCCACCGGCGAGAGAGCTCTAATAGCGTCGGCTCTAGGCAGTCCGTGTCTTACATAGCGTCTCAGGAAGTGTCTGGCCCGCGATGAGATTGCCTAAACGTGAATTTTTTTTGTTTTTTGTTATATATGTTTTTGGTTACTTTGTTAATATTGATAGGCCTTGTTCATATAATCTACTATATATGAAAATTATTGGATAATGTTGACATAGAGACTACAAACAAAAGTGTTTCATCTTCTGTATGACACAAGAAGAACATCACATAAAGTGATAAAACCACAGACTCTAAAAGAGCACTCTTATCGTAACCAAAGTTTGTACCAATGACAACACAAAAGGAGACGAAGATTGCAATAATTGGGTGGTCTTTCAGAGCTGATGTATCGTTCTAAACCGCTGCGTTTGTCAAATCTTTCACTGCCACAATTTCGTGAGGCTGCATATACAATACAATCATGTTAGAACCCACCATTTGGTTAAACAACCTAACTATTACAAACACAATTAAATCTGTCTTCCTCTATACAGTTTCATTCTTTTCATGCAATTTTCCAATCTCTATGTTCAGCTTTATGAAGATTTCATATTTACCTCAGCTAGCTCCTCTTCATGCTTGACAATGAAAGCTGTATCAACTTTTCCATTTTTGAAATCCTGTTACCAACACAACAATTGAATTACAAAAAAGCCAACATTTTCATGATAAAATTCCCTAAATATAGCACTACTTATATCACACACCTCAACATCAAGGATAAGTTTGTGGTAATTGATAGTCGTTGGAACCCCTGATGAAACCAAGAAAACAAAAACTGATTTAACATTCCACCAGATGTCCAATGTAATAAAATGTAACTTTTTACGCAGAAAAAACGAAGCAAACAATGACAAAGCATAAATAAGATGGAATTAACAAAAAGTAGTCCTCGGCATACCTGTAATTATAGTGTCATTAAGCGCACGCTTCATCCTTTCAATTGCTTTTTCCCTCGTTGGAGCCCACACAATAAGCTATAAAACATTTAGTGTGTCAACACATTAGCTATAAGTTCAAGTAAGCTGCTGCGACAAATGAACAACACCTGAAAGCCTCTTCCAATATTTGTATAAGATTCCAAATAGCACAGTGATTATTTTACCATGAAGCCACA